GACATTGTCGAACATATTTCGCAATTTCTCGGAACATTCCTGGCCAATAGTAGTGTCTGGCTATGCGAGCTATGGTCTTAGCAACGCCTAAATGTCCGGCGGTCGGTCGATCATGACCTTCTTGCAGAATTTCAGATCGTCTGGATGTGGGAATACACAGTTTCCAAGGATCAGCCAGTTCGGGTTCTGTGAAGTCATATCGGTCGAAGAAATGTCTGTACAGTTTGCCATCTTTAATACAGTAATCAGAATTTTTATCGGGATCTTGCTCTACCTCTTGAAATTTTCTTGTATACCAAGGACATAAGATCATGTCATTCATGGCCTGAATTTCGGTACTATTAGTTTCGGGAATTGGATGTCTGGATAAAGCATCGGCTACTCGATTTAAGACACCAGGTTTGTATCTAATCTCAAAGTCGAACTGCTGAAGTGCTACTATCCATCGGGCTAAACGTCCGGTCGGATGTTGCAAATTCTGTAGCCATTTTAGGGACTGGTGATCGGTCTCGACTATAAAATGATAACCCTCCAAATACTGTCTCATTTTCTGAATTCCCCAAAATATGGCCAGGCATTCTTTCTCAGTAGTTGAGTAGTTTTTCTCCGGTGGAGTTAAGGTTCGGCTGGCATAACTAATGATGTGGTCTTGTCCTTCCAGATTTTGTATTAAAGCGGCTCCTAAGCCTTGATCGGATGCGTCGGTTTGCAGTACAAAGGGTTTTGTAAAATCGGGGCAGGCAAGAACTGGTGCTTCGGTGAGCTTGGCTTTTAAAGAGTTAAAAGCTTCTTCTTGCTTGTCGGTCCAATTCCATTTCATCCCCTTTTTCAGTAGTTTGGTCAGCGGTGCGGTAATGGCGGAAAATCTCGGTACGAATTTCCGGTACCAGGAAGCAATTCCTAAAAATCTTCTCAGAGCTCGCACGTTGGTAGGTGTCGGAATTTCTTTGATAGCGGCTACTTTATCGGGATCGGTCTGGATACCATTTTCGCCAACTAAATGTCCTAAATATTTCAGAGTTCGTTGAAAGAATTTACATTTCTCTGGGTTCGGTTTAAGTTTGGCCTCTCTTAGCCTACGGAAAACTTCTTTGAGGTTGGCTTTATGTTCTTCGTAATCTTTTCCCAGAACAATGATGTCGTCCAGATATGCAAATGCTTTCGCATGCATGTCGGGTCCCAAGACCTTATCCAATAGCCTTTGGAATGTAGCTGGAGCGGAATGCAGACCAAAAGGCATTGAAACGAATTCGAATAATCCTTTCGGAACGGTAAAAGCGGTTAACGGTCGGCTTTCCGGTGATAAAGGAATTTGCCAGTATCCCTGTTTTAGGTCAATACTGGAAAAGAAATTCGCTTCTTTCAGTCTACTTAATATGTCATTGATCATCGGCAGCGGATATGCATCTTTTATAGACACTTCGTTTAATTTACGGAAATCTATACAGAAGCGGCGTTTGCCATCCTTCTTCTCAGCCAAAACAATTGGTGAGCTCCACGGACTATCAGATGGTTGTACAATCCCATCGGCTAGCATTCTCTCTAATTCATCGTCAATAATTTTCTGCATTGCGGGATTTCTAGGACGATACCTCTGTTTTATAGGAGTCGGATCCTTTAAGCGAATAACATGTTCAGCCATGTTAGTATAGCCGTGTATCTCTTTAAATGCAGTGAATTCTTGTTCTATGAAATCGGCAATTTCTTTCTGCTGAACTTCGGATAAACATAACGACGGAAGAGTAATCGATTCTATGGTTGACGTAGGGTACACCCTATCTGTCTTAGGGTTTATAGTAATCTGGTTGGTTCCTATATCGATGGTAAAATTATATTTGGTGAGAAAATCCATTCCCAATACACAGTCTACAGTCAACGATGGCATGAGAAGAAAATCAGCTGCAACAGTCGTTAACAACAGTTGCCCTCGGATGTGATACTCCTCGGTAATGTTAACCAAAATTCCATTGGCTAATTCTGCTTGTATTTCCTGTTTTGCCGGATTCGGTAAATTCCCCATCTGCTTGCAATATTCGGCCACAACAGGACTGATGTAAGATCTCACCGATCCTGTATCAACTAAAGCAGAAAACGATCGGTGATAAATGTCTATGTTTACTCGAATGCGGTTATTCGACCAGTTACTTGTATTAGTACTGGTAAACGGTACAGAAATGGTTAATGGTTCGGAGGCCTCGATTGTCGGGCGCTGGGCTGGCCTCGCGGAGTTCCAGCCCCGACGGCATTTCCCGGTGTCGCGTGGCTCTGGTTAACACATCGGCAATGTCTAGTCTGTACTCCTTCCCGTCCACATCGGGAACAGAATAAGCGGAATGGTCCTCGGCATGTAAATCTCGTGTGTCCTGTGGCTCCACATCTCCAACAGATAGTGTTCGCATCCTGTCTGGGTATTGTTTGTGAACGGTTATTTGTCTCGTAGTTAGGGCGAGAATTCGGTCTGATAGTTCTATTGGGTTGTGAATCTGCAATGCCAGCATTTCGGACCGGCTCAGTCACTTTTCTTGTTTTGTTTTCTTTGTCCAGATCTTTTTGGAGTTGTTCGTACTCGTAGGTTTGTTGCACCAAATCGGAAATTGTTTCTACCTGTGTTCTTCGGATATATTGACGATATTCGGCCCGCAAACGTTTATAAATGCAAGTAACTTCTCGTTCGGCTGAAAATCCTCCATGTCGTCGTATCATAGTCTGCATTTCTAGAATAAAATTCCGGGCAGTCTCTTGTTTAGCTTGATACTTGGAACTTATCATCTCTTCTAAATTGTCCCGGTAATCGGACGGATAGAAGAAAGTTTTAAAATCTTGCACAAAGTCATCACAAGTACTCCAGTTATGTTTATAGTTCATATACCACTGGTATGCTTTTCCCTGAAGCACCCCTGGTAAAGTTTTCAGTAACTGTGCATCGGTAATTTCGTATTCGCTCTGCACCTGTTCTAGTCTTTCTAGAAATGATATCGGGTCTGTTTTGCCATCAAACACAATGTTAAGTTTACGTATTTGATTTAGTAGTTCGAAAGCTGATATTCTCGGTACTTCGGGGATTGATATAGTCGGTTCGGAGGGTGCGGATCGTGCTACGGGAGCTCCATTGCGTAGGAACCTTGTGATGCGCCGTCTCATCTCTTCCACTGTGCCTCCGGTTTCTAGATTGAAACGCTTAAGCTCAGCTGTCAATGCTTCTTTATTTAGTTTGTAAATCCATCCTACCCTGGGATCAGTGATTTCCAGGCCAGCTGCAGTTTCTTCGGAGTCAGAAGGCATTTTATGATAAAACTTGCTGAACAGATTTCGGGCTACACCTTCTTTCTGATTCTCACTTCAGATTGTGGGAATTTTTCGCTGAGCGTTTTTTTTATTCAATATCTCGGTGGGTAATTGTCGGATGCAGTCGGAAATAGTCGGAAACGCTTTCCTGGGTCCAATTATGTTGAAAACGACACCCCACTTGACTTCGGGTGCCTTCGGAAATGTTCGGTTAAGTTCGGCTTTTTCGAGAAAATGGCGGATCCACGGTACGGATGCTCTCAGTAACCTTTCTTAAGGGTTAGAGTGGTAATATCTCGATCTCTTTTCCTTTATCTCTCCTCTCACAGTTGTTGATACTATGGTTTCTGTTTTGCTCTTGTCGTTATTCCGGTCCCTGCTCGGGCGCCAAAATTATGTGATGTACTTTCGAGGTTCGGTCTCAGACGCCGAACTAGTACAGTCACAGTCCGGGTTCACTCGGTGGAGAAGTGTTTTCCAAGGTTCGGGAATATTACAAGACTTGGTATCAATAAAACTTTTATTTTCCAAAATAAATCGCAGTCTATAAACACATATAATATTAACAATAATACCCTACCCATATAAATAACAAAAACATCGGGATACCTATTGTCACGAAGGCAATACGGATGTCCTGACGGTGACAACGCCGAGTGTCGCGGAAAGACCTGCTAAACACCCGGAGTCGGCCGCGAGGTAGACGTCAGGTACCGCGGAAAGACCTGCTAAGTACCCGGAGTCGGAGTCCAGGTGTGTACCTTACCTTGAGCGCCGCGGAAGAGACCTGCTAAACGCTCTGGTTAGGACACCCAGAGGAGGGTTGAGTGCCGTGGAAAGACCTACTAAGCACTGCCTGGTGTAGGTGACTCCGTTGCTTTTATACAGAACGGCTGGTAGTGCCGTGTGCAACTTCAGCCGTTGAAACGGCGACTTCGTGGGCCGTGTGCAAAATCGCGGTGCGCCAAACAATTATAATACAGCGGGAGCAAAATAAAATAAGTTCATTACTAAAATATAAATGAAATCCCGAAAATAAAAAAAAAGGTTCATTACAAAGGTTTTAGTGGGATAAAGATCAATAAATAAAAGAACAGTATATGTTAAATAATTGCCAATGTTTCGGTGTTATTTTACACCATCCTCAGGGCTCTAAAATACAAACAATGTTTTTAATAATATTCGTTAAGGTATTAAAATAATAAAAAGAAAAACAAATACATTTACAATAATTCTAAAAAATTGTTCCTGACACAATTACCATAAAACCCGACAGAGAAAAATTCTAAAACAGCTCTAAAAGTAACATAAGTAAATTTACTTATACAATGGTATTACTCACTCACCGAAATTTGAAGTGTCTTTTGTCCAACTTAACAGTTCTAAATATAAGATGGTATCTAGATACTTATATGTGTACTTATATGTGTGTGTGTGTGGTTATGGCTTTGGACATGCCAATTAGCCAGAGCGTATTTGCTNGTAGACGACGGATGGGGCCCACCTACGAAGGCTGTCCAGGCCTACACGAGATGAGGCAGGATAAAGAGGGATAATCCCCCTCGATCCCAAATCATTGAGGTCAATTTCTAGCCATGGAATAATGGCGCGGCGCGCGCTCTGAACTGATCCCAAATCATTGAGGCCAATTTCTAGCCATGGAATAATGGTGCGGCACTTTTGGTTTTGCCTCTTTATTCTGTTTTGTGGTTTTGCTGTTCTAGGGTTTGGATGTGTGCCACAGAACATCCCTAACTGATGTGTGCTCGTGGTTTTCCAATTATTTTAGATTTTTTTGTTTAGGTATTTGCAAAGTGTAATATGTGCTGTAGTGTAGTGTTTTAATAATTTATTTATTATCAAATTAAATTACAATAAAGATATAATAAATTATTTTATATTTGCAGTCAAAACAAACAAACAAAAACAAATATGGGTTCTACCTCTAAATCTGTTGATTACCTGGTTGTCGATACGACTGCATTTATTCAAAATGTTCCTTTACAGGTAATTGTTATATTTAAAAATGTAGTTTACTGTTAAAATTAAAATTTTTATGTTGCAGGAAATTGCAGAAAATATAATAACCTGTCCAGAAGTAGTGACTGAAATAACAAATAAGAGACAGTTGCGTCGATTGGTTGTACTTCCATATGATTTAGTTGTAAGAGATGTTTTTCCTGAAAATATTAAAATTGTAACAGATTTTTCTAAAAAAACTGGTGATTATCCAAGCTTGTCAATCACAGATATTAAGGTTATGGCTTTAACATATCAATTGGAAAAAGAAAAGGTTGGCATAAATCACTTGCGGACAGAACCAGTAATGCAAAAACCTGTTGTTTCAACTATCTTAAACTCACTTCCTGATATGACTCCTGATGTGACAGGATTTGTATTACCTGGAGATTTAAAAATAAATTTTAATGGCAATAAAAATCAAGCTAATGAAGACTTAGCAGCACAATTTAAATCATTGGAATGCACGGATGAAAATTTATCAGAAGCGAAAACTGGAAATAACGATCTTTCAAAAAATAAAAATGTGGAGGGATTCACTGAAGATGATACCGACGATGAAGGTTGGATCACTCCTCTTAATGTTGAAATTGCAAAAAAACAAATAAACTCTGAATTAACAGATGATAATCATGTGGCAGTAGCTTGCATGACAACCGATTTTGCAATGCAAAATGTTTTACGACAAATGAATTTAAATGTTGCCTCTTTAGATGGTCGGATAATTAAACAATTGCGAACTTATATATTACGCTGTTATACTTGTTTCAAGACCACAAGTATCATGACAAAGAAATTTTGCCCCAAATGTGGCAACAACACTTTAAAGAAAGTAGCTGCTTCTTTGGATGAAAATGGAAAATTGCAAATTCATATTAACGTAAAGCGACCACTCACTGCACGAGGAAAAAAATTTAGCTTGCCTAAAATAAAAGGAGGAAAACATCCCAACAACCCTATCCTTGTTGAAGATCAGCCTATTCCAGATAATAAGCCTAGTAGATTAGCAAGAACAAAAAACAATCCTCTTGATGACGATTATATTGCAGGTAATTAACTGTTTCTTACTATACCACACCAGATTTTCACTACTTTAATGCTTCAGATTCTTTTAAATCAAAATATGTGCTAAACCTAATAGGCTTAATACATTATACACGTTTAACCCTTTGACTGCTCCAGACGTGTTTATTCGCTAAAAATTTATAGGGCTCAAACTGTTCCAGACGGATTAATTCGCTTGAATAGTTAAATTGAATCAGGCTGCTCAAACCGTATATATTCGCAACCAGACGCATTAGTGCAATTTTTGCGGGCGGAGCTAGTAGCGATTGTGACAAATATTTTTATGGAAGGAGGTACTGGTAATAATGCCAATATTGTTCATCTCTCTTTCAGTTTCTATTTAGTACAGCTGTCGATATAGTGTATTTTATTTAAAATAAAATCGTAAAATTTATCGTAAATCGTAATTTAACACAACATAATGTAAAACTATAAGTGGTCTAACTGCTCCAGACGTATATATTCGCACGCGATAAACTTTTGCGCACAGCGCGGTAGCTACGTTCAGACGTATTGCGGAGCGAAAGGGTTAAGAATCATATAGTCTGGACTGTGTGAGTTAAACTTGGTTAAGATTCAAACAAAATATCTACGCAAACAAACCATGAGTTACGTGCTGGAAATTGGCATACTTATAAGTATTTCGGTTCCAGAAGCCGGCATTGAAAGACGGCAGCCTAGAAATAATATAAAATTAAAATTAATTTCTATTTTTGCGATGTGAAATTAAGATTTTTATACAGGGTGATTCAGAACTTATCCAAAAAAACAAATTCTGGATGTACAGGGGACCCTTACAAATACAATTTTGTAAAGAAAAAATCAAAAAGGGCAGTTTGAAAATGATTTAAAAATACACTTCTGCACGGCACTGGAAACTGGTCCACTGTAAAACCTGACCTCGCAAAATGCGACCAGCATGGCGGTGTGATAAAAATGGACAAAAATTTTCGCAAGGAAAGAAATATGTAAATAGAATTTTATATCGGCAAATTCAACTGCTTTTGCCTTTATTAATTAATAAAATTAATTTGTGTTTTTAAATAATAAAATCATTTGACATACCCGATGTTACAATAATTGTTCAAAATTTTATCCTCCAATGTGTAAACACATTTGGGTCCGTTGTACTCAGTTTCTACGAACTAACACAAATGTTGTCTTGTTTCACCATAACACAAATGCTTCACCATAAATTGAAACGATATCCATCAACTCCGAGTACACGCAAACCATTTTTGACACTAACTACCCATTTTTGACACTAACTATTCAAAACATTGTAAACACCACAGATAACAGGTAAATATCGCAACGACGATTGCAAAATCCGAATTCAGTATTCGGAGTCGCTGAGGCACGTGGCCAATGACGCTAGAGACTACAGTTGTCCACCTATGTAGTAGTTGAATGTACTATAACTTCAATATTTTTTTTCTTGGAAACTAAGGATTTTACAAAATTTTTTTTTTACGATATTGATTCCATTTCTCATGCTGCATCTATTCCCAAATTATTTTGGATAAGTTGTATATCGATAAAATATATATTTTTTTAATTTTAGGATTACTATTGCAATGTTCATTTGGACTAATTCAATTATTTTTGTGGTATTTATTCTCTTAACTGGCATATTTTTCAAAGGCATATGTATATACCATACCAAATGGGGAGAAAGTCAAAAGATGAATGGAGAGATCTGAGGTGCAAATCACTCAATCAACACCTACATTTAACATGTTATAATCCATATCAACGATGCAAACTAACTGCTTAGAATAGAATACTGAATATTTTACGTCAGATTGTAGTTTTAATTGTGGGGATGAGAACGCAACACCGCAAGTGATTATGTTCATATTATCCATAAAAGGCCCCTATAAAAATTGGACCGCAAATATATTCATCATAACTTAGAAAATGATTTTAAATTTGCCTATATGTCACAACCAGTTAAGAGGTTAATTAGCTTTAAAATAACTATTGATTTTTTACATTACAATGATTTATAATTCAAATTTGACTGTCCTGTTTAAAAATAACTATTAATCTAAAAGATGGTAATGGAAAATAATTTACCTAATATGTTTATTACATATATTATCCAAGTTATTCTGAATGAAGAAATATGCTTTCAAGTAAATATTTAAGCCTTATCTTACAAATACATAATGTACGTTGAAAAATGGTTATAAAATTTAGTGTGATATCTTTCAAGATATTTTTCATTTTAAATAGTATTTAACATTATTTTATTGGAAACAATGGATAATATTTGTTCAATTTATTCTTTTACACCTTTTAAATTGGATAATAATCCCCAGTAATTAAATACAAAACAACTATTAAAAATGATTAATCATTTATGACAGTGGCGGCTCGACAGGTGACGCACCGCTTCACCTAAAATTTCCGTTTGGTTGTGCAATTTAAAATTATTTTTAATTTTATATAAATTTTATAATTTAGGTATAATTCTATATTGAAAATGTATCGTGTTTGTTTTTTTGTTTAATACACAGAAATAAACAGAATAGTTGCACGGTGAACACCTTCTCAAAAAACATTGCCTTCGTTGAGCGTGAACATCAACCCTCGTACCATACAACGTGTAGTATACGCAAATGATGCAGATCGAAATCAGTTTGTATTCCGCTTCTCTTTGAAGCGTTGTTTACAGCGCGCGGCAATTATTATGGCAACGAGGCGGCCAACATGTGAGTAATACGGCATGGGGGAACTGTTCCCTGCAAAGGCAAAAGAGTCTAATCACAAAATTGTCTATTTTAATATATTTACATAAATGTAATGCGCAGAAGCAGTTCTACGTTTTGGTGTAGAAACGGTATTCCTAGGATAAGGGGTTTTAAAGTTAGAAAATTGAAAAAACAGTCCATTGTTATGACCTTGCCGGCCATTCCAAGGCAAAAAAGTCTAATGTGGATTTTCTCAAAATCACATTTTTGCTAATAGACTTTTGCCTTTGCATATTTTTTCTCATGTAACTAATATCATATAGGAATAATTGCACTCTACTGGCCTACTAATTTATTTTCTATATCAAATTTTTTTTAATTTTTAACAAATAATCGGCAGCTTTTTCCCCTTGCTAAAAATTACTAATAACTGGGATAAGCATTTAACATCCGTTGTTTCATTTGGGTACTTGCCACGCGAAATATAGAGCATTTCTTATTTCTGAAAATATCACTTTGGATGCTACTCCATTGATGCTCTCTATTAAATCATTTTGAATAGTTTTTGAAAGGCTGCTAAAAACTAGACTTTTTTCTAAAAACACTAAATTTATTATCATACCTTGAACGTAAGTTTGCAAGCTCACAAAAATTGCCTTGATTAATGGAATTATCTGTTTCATTATGGTCCTTAAATCTTGTTCTTGTGTAGCTAAGTAAATAATCATATCAATAAAGTGCTTTACAATGTCTATTTTCATCCACACTTTATTATATTTTAAAATATTCTCAGGAAATGCGGAATCAAGAAAAGTTTGAATGTTTTTTTTCCTAATAATTTAAATTTTAATGATGAATATGTATGCTAATTCGATCGCTCTTGCTTTTTTTAAGGATTCATTAATATGTTTCAGATCTGAATATCCTAGATAGTTCCACGGTGTTTTACTTTTTTCATTACATAGTAAGCAATTCTACCAATATAATTTGGTTTTGGTTTCACTGCCTGTTAACCACTCATATTTATTGTACCAATTTTTATTAAATGATCCGTTACTTCCGCAATTGTTTTTATTTGTTAAATTTTTCGTGTCAGGCGTAGGTTTTAATTTTGAAATAAATAATTTATCATCGAAAGTGAACGTACTAAATTTTAACAATACATTAACATTGCTACTCACCAATTCACAAATTTCACTTGCCATTTTACTTTACTCCAAACTATTAAACAATAAAAACTTGCCTAAACCACCACTAGAAACCCTAATCTTGTCTAGGTTAAACATAAACAAACGACATGACAAATCGCAAGATGATACGTAAGTATTCGAGGAATATACGAGTGAAGCCGAAGGGCTTGCCCGGTGCGTAAGGCAATTTATGTATACATATTATAATTATTTATTAAAAATCTGATTAAAATTCAAAAAATGTATTGAATGAAATGAACGTTTTTTTTATGTCACAGTTTCTTTATTATTTGAAGAAAAAATAAATATTGGATTTAAAAGTCCTAAAAATTTACATCACTTCTATATTTACAAACTCAAATCTATTAAAACATTGAAAATTTCTCCGCAATCATTCTTAATTCAGTTTAACAGCAACGAGTTAAAAAAAACTTAATAATTATAATTATCATTATCACAGAATATTCAACATAGCACCGTAGATATTTATTTTTTAACTCGATTTGCACATTATTATAAAACCGTTTATTATTTCATTTATTAAAATTTGTTTTCTGGAATATCTTTCCAGGGAAAAATTGTTCTAATTTTTAAAAATTCATTTAAAGAACAAAATTACAGCAAATAAATATACATACATATGTGTATTTCCAATCGCTGGCGAAAAGTCTTAGCTGGCCTAGCCGATACAGCATCGTGGAGCAAATATTCTGAATTGGTAAGCAGGCAAGGGACGGCGTCGCTTAGTTCAGCGGCTACGGGCCAGCCCGAATGTAATGTTGGTTGCTGCTGAGATCATGATTAAATTATAATTGTAAAATTTGGTAGCGGGAGTTTCAAAGGAGGTAATGCAGTTTAGATTTAATTTTATAAGAATTAGGTCAAATTACTTTGGCATATGTACACACATTTTTCTTTTATTTTTCTGAAATTATCAGAGTGGGCACTGCACCCCAACGAGCCGCCACTGTATTGAAGCAGCATTGTTATCGCCTGCCTTTAAACAGTTTATACGATACGCGTCGCCCAGTGCACGATTATAATGGTTCTTAGTTTTGTATAATTGTAGAAATGTTTCCTATGTATGATCCAGTATGT